AATGGACATTTGCAGCTTGTCTTTTGCTCAGGAAATCGCTGGAGGAGAATTTGAGGAGTTGGGCTTCGAAGGGGCCATGACCGGGGTGTTAACACACCCTCTGTCTGACCTGGAGCCACTTTGTGGGATGATTTTTGTGACATGACATACCCTGTCCCTCTGATGGGCTGAAAAGCATCTTTGTACGGTGCTCCCAGCCTGTGAGCGGGGAGCTGGGGGAGTCCCAAAGGTCCCATGGCGGGGAAGCAGCAGATGCCGGTGTCTTGTTGCTTTGCCTTTTTCTGAGTCGCTAAGCACATGCTTTACTTCCTTTTAAATCAGGAAACAAGGCAGTGAAGATAATCTGAAATGCAACGACTTGCCCAACGTGGGAGAAGAGGAACTTCTTTCGTGAGCATCAACTTTACGGTTCTGTTGAGCAGCTTGGTCCAGGGCACATTATTAAAGCGTGCTGCTGAGGATGAGTGACGTTAACAGAGCCTACGCCAAATGCAGCATGACACGGCGCTATTTCAGTATAATGCTGGATGTAGAGCTTACATAGCAGCATGTTAGAAGACATCCAACTACTTGTCATAAACATTGAACATCTCCGATCGCTTGGACTGCTGACTTCTTGTACGAAAGGTGCTGGCTAAGAGCAGAGGTGAGCTATTGCGTTGAACAGCAACAGTGCTCTACAAAAAAAAAAAAAAAAAGAAAAGAAAAAAAAAAAGGCAGTTAAACAAAAATGCATCTCTAACTGCTTTTGCCTGGTTTTAATGCCAAATAATTTCTGCGGACTATTGCCAGCATCCCAGGGGTGTTCTATGCCCATCGCATAGTCGGTGGGCACATGCAGAAGGGTGAAGCTTTTGCCATGTGGCACACGCAGCAGTAAAACTACACGGTGCACGTTGAGAGTTCATGACCTACCAGAAATGTTCTTGCATCTATTTCTTGTCATTCTGGTTTGTTTTTTATTGACATGTTTTTAACTGCATGGGAACAAAGCAAAAAAACCCACCTCTTCAGCTTTTTAAAAATGCCTACCTTTGTGAGCCAAGTTGTATTTAAACAGTGTCTTTGGGACGGTCAGAAAGTGAGGTTAATTAATTACCTCCTGAGGTAATTAACACCTTTCCTGAGGTCTTGGTGTGACTAGGACTGGGTAAGTTGAGTATTCAGTGTATGAAAGGAAAAGGTATTTAAGGGCTTAAGTTCAGTCTGAACTATCTTTGCTGCAGACATACGAGTGGAAGGTGGCATTTAGCTGAATGTTTCTTTCGAACAGCAGCGGAAGCACTAGCAACAGTTTGTTTCTAAGTCTTTTACTTGATCTAGGTAGATATTAAATATAAAATTCAGGGTAAAATCCTTCACTTCCATGTACATTACATGGTTTACTATGATTCAGAATAATACAACTTATGCTATTTTTTAAGTATAGACTTAGGGCTTGCTTAGAATTTAAGATCTTAATGAAATACTTAGATTAGCTAGTAATTTTCAAAGAAATTTCCGTTTTTCAAACTCTTAATCTGGATCTTTGGGGCCAATGCTATGTATTTTTTGCAAGTTCGTTACCAGTAATTTGTGAATGCCTGTGGATCAGAGGCTTGTTAGTAAATTAAGTGTATACCTAATTCATGGGTTTTTTCTTACGGAGAGCTCTTTACCCTTCAGTCAGATTACTCTGATTATTTTGTGGTGCTTGTAAGAAATAATAATCTGTTGTGTGGTGGGAGAGACTCTGGTGTCCAGACTCACTTTCCCAAGTTCTCCGTGCTGGGACAAAGCTGGAGAAGAGCAGAGCGTTGATGAGCTGGGGAAGAGTCAGAGTTTGCTTGAGGAAGGGGGTCACGGTAAGTACAGGTGTTTTGTGAACGGAGCATGGGACTTGGGGGGAAAGGTCTGACCTCTTCTCTGTCCCCTTGTCTTCCTCGATCTTGGCCACTGCAAACAGCAGAGTGCTGACGTCCTCGTCCCTGTTGCAGTCGGACCTCGCCTGGTAATTCCTGGTTAGGACGGGTCTTTGATAAAGCCGGCAGAGCATTAGTAAGTGTGCAGGTGCTTACACAAACTGTCCCTTACATCTTCTGATCACTTGAAGCAGTGCTCCCCCTAAATTGCCATTTATTACTGAAACATTGCACTGCTGGCCTCTCTCCAAAGCCAGCGATGCTGGTTCGTGGTTTAGGAGCAGTACTATGGAGTTTGGAGCCATAAGACACGCACTGTTTTCCTCCTATTCTCCATCCGAAGCCAAAGCCCTGCAGCTTCAGCTATGGGAAAACCAAACAGGTGACGTGGGCGCCAGCACTACTGCAGCTGCCGGCTCCCCCTTCCTAAACAGGACTTTTCACTGCGGAAATGCGTGTGAGCGGGCAGTGTGGTTCTCTAACCTTGTAAATGGACTTGTTCTGCCAAAAAAATAAAAAAAAAAAGGGGGATCTGATTATTTATAGCTGGTGCATAGTAATGTGAGTGGTGTGTGTCGTTAAAGGTGAGTTGTAGAGATGCTCTGTGCTGCGTATCTCTGGTTTGTGATGTGGCAGGTGCCTCGCGAGACAGTTTACATTTACCAGACAGATTTGCCAGGTGCAACACAGCTTCTACACGGAAGAAGCTGTATCGGTTCCTGGCTGCCCAGACACACAGCAACTGGGCCTCAGATATTACCATAGGTCAGTGTCTTACGGCCGGCATGGGCTTGGTTCATAAGCATCCTGAAGCTCAGCGCCTCCTAAGTCGCTCTCCAAAATGATCCTCTTAGTGCCAGCTCCGGCAGGGCTGCAGCCAAATGCACATTTCTGAAATAAACTCGATGTAGATTCTTCTTGTTGATTAGTTCTGTGGAAAGCATAAAGCGTGGCTGTGTGAGGAAGATCTATCTAAATGCATGACCTGTTAGAGAAGCCGTACTGTATATATATACATTTGCTCAGTTCCCTAGCTGCTGCTGTTCCTTAGTAGTAAAGCGAGATTTTTTTTTTCTTATAGTGAAGTAAACATTTTGCTTGTGCCTTGGAACTGGGCTATAGCTTGATTTCCCCAACTCTCTTCCTTTCAACCAAGCCCGTGCTGACTGTGGTCTTAATGCTGGTACTAAGCCTTTTTGTCTCTGAAAGCACACAGGAAAGTGCTGAGGGGAAGCCAGGCCTCTTGTCTGACTAGTTTTTCTCGGTGGTCCCCTCTTACCTATCAGGCAATTGATCTGTTTGTTTTCTAAGGTCCTGAACTATTGCTGATTTTTATACTGCTTGTTTAATGACCCAGGCTTGTGTTTCATTCCTATCCCTTTATTATGCATTTAACTTTCAGGTGTATCAAGTTTAAATACTGTGTATTTACCACTTTTAAATTATATTACCTACGAAGAAAGAAAAAAAAAACCACAACAAAAGCAAAACCACAACTAAGTGTTTTTCCACACAGCTGTTCAAGCTTCTCTGTACAAGTTGAAATAAATGAAATGCAACCAAACCCAGAGTTAGTTGGTCAAGTGGAACCATTATCCTGTTTGACTGACTGGTCTTTACCAAGCGATGAGAGTTTACTTGTTGAAGAGGAGTCTGAAAGTGCTTTCCTGCATTAGTGAAATCTGGTGCTGTACCATTCCTGGGGATCTTGGGCTCCAGCCACTGCATCATCCAAACTGAGCCATTCACATGCACAGACTAGAGCGCCAGCTCTTGGAAAGGCACCATTTGAGTTGTGACACTCAGCTGAGAGCTCAGCAGGCAAATAAAAAATAAAACGATAATGCTGTAGCAAACCCACCGCACTGCTGGAAAAAGGCAGCAAAGCCCCTGCCAGGATGCTGGAGGTGTGGAACAGGTCCCAGGGCTCTGTAGCACTAGAAAAGGTGCAGAAAAAAGGATGAGCTGTACTTTGCGTGCCAGTGCGATCACTAGAGATGCTCAAGGCCATGTGAAAATAAAAGCCAACAAATTCACTTAAATCAAATTGTGTAAACCTATTAAGTGCAGCAGCCCAGATAGAGGGCCTGGGGGCAGAGTGGGGTGCATGGGAGGTCTGCCAGGGAATAACAGCTCTGTTCTGACCAGTTGCCACTGGCGTTTGGCTAAGGTCATGCTAGGCTGACCCACCCTGGCCTCTTAACTTTCAAATCTTGTCCCCTGGATAGGGTTTTAATGCAACAGACACAGACAAAGTGTCAGGAGAAGGAAGGTGGAGCAGAAGCTGTAGCAGCGCTCTCACTGAGAGAATCAAGAGGCAAAGCCGACAGCAGCATGGCTTTGATAGCTCTCCAGTAGCAGTTGGTATCTGTGTAAAATGAAGACAGTTCACTGACTCTTAACCTTCACAGGCCCTGGGGAAAAATAAACAAGCAAAACCCAGCTTACAGAAATTTAAGAGGGCCGAGAGAAGGTAATATTTTATTAAAATAAATTTTAAAGTAGTACCACAAAAATTTGACAAAAGAGAAAAAAATAAATCTGTAACCAGTAAGGCATTTACCATAGCACAATGGAACCAGACACTGCTTTGTCTTGGTCTGTGGCCACTGGAGCTTGGAGACACAGTTAAATAGTAGGTGCAGGCTCAGCTAAGCATCACAGTCCTTCAGGGCAAGGAAAAGTGATCTGACAACAGCAAGGAGCAGCTCTCCCAAGGTTCACTGTAAGGAAGAATCTGTGCCTGTGACCCTGTGCTCTCTGCTACCGATGAGCTCAGGGAAAGGACTGTCAAATTGGCAATGTCAGAGTGGTCCCTGCCCCAGGTTTACCCCCTGCAGAGGTCTGGCACCAAAGCACAATTCTTCCTCTGTGCTTAGTGCAATTAACCTGGAAAGAGAGCAGACAACGAGCAGACCCTGTTCTGCCAGGGGGCTGGCTCCAGCCAGCAAAAGTCATGAAGAGTAGTGAAGAAGGTCCCTTTCTCAGGTTTGTTCCCCCTTTTCCTTCCAATGAAGAGGGGGTGGTCCTCACGGCAGGGTCAGAGTAACGTTCACAGCAGCAGTTCACAGCAGCAGTTGGTGCTGTCGCAGCAGCAGATCAGGGGTTTGTTCCGTATGTCTCATTGATTCCCTGAAAGATTCAGAGATTACAGTTCTCTGCCAGAAAACTCTGCTTTCTCCCCCCTTCCTCTCACATAAAACCCTCTGCACAGGCACACTACTCTCTGCTACTCAGACTTTGCATTTCCAGTGCCACAAGGTCTTTTGATTCAGAAATCCACCCTCTGCAGCAACACTTCCCACAAGAACAGGGCTGCAGGGCCAAGCTCTACCCTCAGCACCAGTCAAGCAACACCACCACCCCACTACATCCTTCTGCTGGACAAATGGATCATTTGGAGCCCGAAGGGAGCTGTAGCTGTGGCTGTCAGCATACTGGTCTCAGAACCCATTGAATGGGTCTGTTCACAGCAGCAGGAACCCCCAAAAGCCAAGAAGGAAGGATTTGAGGAGGACAGAGCTGTTGTCTGCATCTGAGAAGGCAACTGCCAAGAACTGCAACCCAAAAAAAGAGGTGCAGTGGGAGCATGGCAAGTTCTTGAACATTTGTTCCAAGAGTGGTTGCCCAGGAAACATGACAATATTTGTTTCTAGTGCTCCTCCCTGCAACAGCTTTGAGATAAAAATTAGCTTCTCTGACAAAGTTTCCTCAGAGCTGTGGTTCAACATCCCTGTTTGATGTGGACTTTCTACATCCTGTTTCAGAATCTCTCCAGAGTCAGAGACGAAGCAACTTTGCCTTCACTCTGTCTCCACTGATGCTTACCAGCTCATAATCCTCCACATACTTGTATTTCTTCTCCCGATAGTAGTATCTCTTCTTCATGCAATACAGAACAACAATGTCACACAGCACTGTTGCCTAGCGGAGATTGAAAGAGTTTAAGACAATGGTCCTCAGAACTGAGGCACTAATCCAGAACTGAATCCAAGTGCAGACAGTGTCACTCACCACGCCAAACAGCGCTAAGCCAGAGCCAATGTTAATCATGGTAGGAATTACATTAAATCGTCCTGCCTAAAAGACAGTTACAAGGGTGAATATGTTTTTCAGTATCTGTGAAAGCCCTCACTGCATGACCTCCAGGAATTAAATCACCCTACCTTTCCAAACACTATGATATCAAAGCGGATGCCATAGGCTTTGACAAGAGTCCGTGATTCGGTGCCATTACTATCCTTGTAGTATTTTGCAAACCTGGAAAAAAAGATAAGTCAGAGCTTAGCTGGAAATTTTGAGGTTGCTTATATGACCATGCGACATCCAGGTGTGCCCCCATCCCAAGAGGATGGGTATTTTGAGAGACAAGCCCCAGGTGATGGAGGGAGATGTCATGCAGGCAAGCACATACAGAAGAAAAGCCCAGAACAGGCGAGTTTAAGACAGGAACTTGCAAATTAGGAACCTGCAAAGCACAGAAAGGGAAGAGAGTAAGCTTTAGCAGCGGAGCAGGAGGACAGACAGGAAGAAGCTCAGCTACACATGAGAACCAGCCCCCTCAGAGGGACGCAGGAGGCTGCAGGAGTGCAGGCAGCCACGAGAGGGCAGGGCCGGGAGCAGGCAGCGAGGGAGGCAGCACAGCTCAGCCTGGCACAGCAAGGCTGTTCCTTGTTCCGCACAATGTGACTCGCAGGCAAGAGACAGGGAAAAGGGATGAGAACAAATAAGTGAGATCAGACTTACTCTGCCACATGGTTGACTAAACCAGGAAGAAGCAGAGAAGAGGGTGGAAGAGAAGAGGAAGGACTGGTAAGGGGCTGCTCCACGGTCTGGAATTTGCAAGAGCACTTCAGGACCTGCACCAGCCGGGCTGCGATATCCTCCAGCCGGTCTCTCCTGACACCCCAATACCCACAGGCCTGTCACCTCCCAAACACATGCTTGTGCTGTCTGCATGACAGCAGCTTCCCAGTGAATTCATTCCAGTTTCACCAAAAGAGATCCCCCGCACTGAGTTTGCGATTTTAGAAACAAGCATAGCCCCGAGCCATGTTTGCTCATGAGCAGGACTGCTGCAAGGATCTTGGCAAGGTGGCCAATCCATATGACTACAGCTCCGAGTCTGGATGCAACCAGCCACCCAGCCCTGCGCCGGTGGTTTTACTGGAGGTGCTGGACCTATCTGTACTGGTCAGAATGTATATGTGGTGGTTTATGCCAGAAGGATGCTCCTGGTGCAGAAATGGTCTTCAACTGACAGATGCTTTCTAGAAATTAGTTTTTCCCTCATGCACAGTGAAGGAGGCACATTCAGTTTCCCACCCCCACACCCCAGCCCCCTCAAATGCTGCCCTATCAGCACACCCGGAAACAGTCGGTTCTCACATTGCCGTGCCACAGGAGGTTGGCCCAAACCGTCACCCAAATTCTGGGCAAATATGACTCGGACACTCTGACGCAATCAGTGGAGCTTCACTGAACTTCCCCCTCTGCTGTGGTTTGCACACAGTGAGGATCCCACCTGCTCTATGTTTTACAGCATCAGAGAAACTCTGCAAGTTTTACAGCACCATCAAAAGGCCAAGGACTACCCACAAATGCCAGAGGAGTGTAGGCAGCCCATAACACTGCGCCAGGCGCAGACTGAGCCACAGGGACACCAGGTGCCCTTTGTAGCCACATTACCTGAAGTTGTAGCCAGGCGAGACGGTGTGGGCAGAGTCCTTGTTGTCGAGGCGCCGGAAGGAGTACTTCGGCACACAGTGGGAAGCACCTCGGTCAAGGTTGCAGTCCCAGTTGATTTGTAGTGCCATGACTCCACCCTGCCAAATGGAGAAGAGGAGAAGGTGAGCAGCCCAAGTGCCTGGTTAGACCAGCACTAGGCTCTCTGCTGATCAGGACCCTGATCTACTTGGCCTTGCCCTAGTCCTACGCTCTTTCCCCCTGCTACAGAGGGTCGCTGCACATAACCCCACCCAAACAAGCTAAGACCAAATATTTGTTAAGTAGAATTGACTCCAGTCCCTTTGGCCAGAGCAGCTTTCCATTCTACTCATGCCACAAGGCAGAGGGGGACAACCACCTACCACTCCTCTTCTACATAGCTGAGGCCCAAGAGAAGGGTCTGCCAAATACCTCCACTGCCATTTCCTGGAAGTTCTGCCCTGCAGCTTCAACTATTTTCCCTAAACGAAAGATGGGGCAGAAGGGATCTGTCTGAGAGTCATAGATGCAGTCCTTGAGGTAGGTGGAGTTGATACTGGGGAGGATGTTTCGCCTACAGGGGAACAGAGAGAGAACACCTGTTGCATCTTCTTTCACTCCTCCAGCTCCCCTTTACTGTCCAAGAGACCAGACAGCGCAATGCCCCACACACGCTATTTACTTGCTGAAGTTGAACTTGGGGTACCAAATGTTGTTCTTCACCAGAATGGTGAAGTTCTCAGCTTCTTGCAGCTGGCCTACAAAACAATAGGAAAAGTAAATAAGTTTCACTTATATTTTCACATACAGGACTCTGCAGGTTCCTCGGTGATCACCTCTTCAGCTTTTCCCAACAGTACCCCAAAGGCAGAAACATCAGCTGCATACCACTAGCCTCCTCTCAGGAGGGCCACTGCAGAGTAGGAAGACAGAGCACTCACTTGGGTATAGGATAGTCATCTTCCACAGGGCACCACGCAAAGATTTCACAGGTCTTGGTGCTGTTGTTGTATGGTACACACTCCCCAGTCTGGATGCCTGGAAAGACATGTGAATGGAGGTACTACCAAGCAAAAATACAGAGGCAGTATTTGCCCTGGGATATCTCCTCGCTCCATAAGGTGAGAGCAGTCTGCTCAGAGGTGAAGTGGCAGTACTATGTCCTCCATTATCTTCCACTGCAATTTGTAGTGCTGTTTCAGAGAAGGACACATCAGACTCAAGGTCTTTAAAAAGCCCTCACACTGGTTTCTAACTCACCAAAACACACATCTATCCAGCGTCCACCAAACACAGTCTAAGTCCATCTGCTCTCCCCAAGAAGAAAAAAATCTGAGCTCCCCATTCAGTTCTCTTAGGTGTGAGAGAACGAGAACAAGGAGACCAAAGTGAAATGCTGCTTCTTTCACAGGAGGGAAGGCATAGCACAGAAGTATTGCAAGACAGACTGAAAGGAGCCCTTGCAGCAGGCTTCCTACCATTGCTGTGGGTGCTGACATATCCTGGGACACAATTGTTCTTCTCTTTGCACTCTGTTTTATCATCTGGAAGCTGGAGAGGAACAATATTACACTAAACTCTATGTTCTCTCTCTCCCCTGTACTCCCACCCACACGAGGCAGGATTAAAGCAGATCCTGTACCTACCTCTGGGCAGCGGCCTTGGCGCTGGTTCAGCGTGAGTATCGCATTGGTCATGACAAACACAGCATTCTCCTCCTGAACATGCAAAACAAGAAGGCAATTTAAGACTCACAGTCTGCAAAGAATATCCGAGACATTGCCCCAAATGTCTTTGTTGACAGAGCCCAGGTGGCCCCAGAGAGGGGACTTCCTTTGGACAGTGCATGTGTAGCACTAAAGGAGCAGATTCCCACATGTATCGCCTGATGCCACTGCCTTCAGGCAGAGGAAGGACTGTGGGACTAGCAACCCTTTCTGTTCTCCCTTTTCGTCCAAATTTCCTCATTCATATTATGAAAACAGAGATAATGTCACTTGTCAGGGGAGTTGCAAGGCAGGAGCAGAAATAAAGCTCCAGCTGCAAATCTGAGTACAACTCCCATTGTTTGTTTTTGGGTTTTTTTGCAATATGTCTATTAGAAATTTGACCAGTCCTGGTTTGTTTCTCCAGAGAGCACCACTTCCATTATTTTCAGTTCTGTATGATTCAGGGTCTGTTGTTTGCTTCTGCTCCAGTGATATTTAAATATGATCACCCAGCCAAAATCTGGCTAAACCTGTCACTTTTTTCTGCACCACATCTCACACAGACAGAGTGACCCATGACTAGCAGCTTGCCTGCGCCTGCCAACCCCGAAAGCCGCCACATATTGCCCACACAGTGTAGATTCCCACAGACACAGTCAATCAGTAACTACAGCAATACCTCCTGTTCAGTTCCGGATCAACTGACTTGCAGCCTATTCCCAGGGTTTCTGCAAACAAATTAACTTGGAGCTGTTTGCTTTAGAAAGCAGCAAGAAAGAGGACATGATTATTGTTCTGACTTTTTTTCCTGAAGCCTGAGAAGTTCTCCCTTCTATACAAGCACACACACAGACGCACTTTTCTCGAAACAAGCTTCCCCGCGGCTAGCGGTGCAGGTGTTCAGCATGATCTGGAACAAAGCAAAGCTGCTTCATTCTCTCGTATCAAGGTCATGCTGGAGCTCAAGCTGCTCCAGACCTCGGTGGACTTTGTCAATGCAGCAGCTGTTAGAAAACCTCTCTGCGTGTGAAAGTGACGGATACCTGAGGAGGGATGACATAGTCGGCCACGTCCCAGATCCTCGCTCCCAAGGTGGATGTGTTTGTCAGCGCTACTCCTTTCACCTTTGCGGTTACAGAACTAACCACAGAGTCCGTTTCCTGGTAGCCCTTCTCCCACAAAAACACCCAGCTGCAAAAGAACGATTGCAAGGAAAAAAAAACCCAACAAAAAAACCCAGATAAACACCATAAACCAGCACAGGCAGGGGGAATTCCTTCTTTTTTTCACGTATCACGTGAAAGGGCCAGTCCAGATAGTTTCATAGAGTTTATCTATAAAAGGGCCACAGGACTAGCAATCTCCCTTCTGATTTATTTTTTCAGAGAGGTTTGTCAGGGTGTAATTATTGCTTTTACGCACACGCCTGAGGGGAGCCTTTACTCCTGAGGGGTCCTGT